AGAATGTCCAGTATGCTGCCTGATGTCCTTCTTTGTGAGGTGGCATACTGATTGGTCCATAGGTTTGGAAGCAGCTACTGACAAATACCCCAGGTCTCCCATAGCATAAAAAAGATGCATGTGTCAAAAGATGGTGAGAACCTCCCAGGCCTTCGCCCAGTGGAGAAGTCAGCAATGTAGAAATATTAAATATCTTTAATATGTCTTAGTCCCTGAAATAAAATTGTGTAAGGCAGGGGCAGAAGGAAATTCACAAAAGCACACATTTCAGTCTCCTGAGATCCACTGTGCATAAGGCAAATTATTTTTGCCAGGAAGAAAATAACCAAGTTACAGGGTAAGTATCTAAGAATAATTTCTTTGGCCACTGCTATTAGAGTTGACCGGAACAGTGTGTAACTAGTACAGTAGCTGGGGCTACCACTTGAGTGCTTACTATGTGTCAGGAAGTATACCAGCATTCTCTCATTTAATCCTCAACAGACTTTCAAAGTAGATATTATCCTTTATTTTACAGATGATGAAACAAGCTTAGGAGGATTAGTTTTCGCAGGGCTGGGAGTGAGGTTTCCAGGGATGAAAGACTGTCAGTTCTAGGGGTGCCTGGGTGGCTCAGTCGTTAAGCATCTGCCTTCTGCTCAGGTCATGGTCCCGGGGTCCCTGGATCAAGCCCAACATCAGGTTCCCTGCTCAGCAGGGGGTCTGCCTCTTCCTCTGCCCCTTCCCCCGTCATTTGTGCTCTATGTCTCTCTCTCAAATAAACAGATAAAATCTTAAAAAAAAAAAAAAAGACTGTCAGTGCTAAAACTAAGACAGTCCTGAGTAACCTGGGATGGTTGGTTACCCTGAGTGTCACCCAGCCCGCTGACCCACAGTTGATAGTTAAGAAGTAAGCCCAAAGGGTTCTGAGTAGTCAGACAGATGGTTCATAGATGGAAAGTTGCTGATCTGCCTCACGGAGACTTTCAGAACATTCCTCGGCACCCCCTTTCCTCCATTTTACATGCAGTTCTAACAAGCTTGATTATTTGGTTTCCAGGTGCCTTGTCAATGAGAAACTGAACATTGGAAGGGGAAGTGGTTATTGTAGAAAGGCACTGATTACCATGGTGAGGGACATCTGGCTGAAGGTGGGAGCAAGGAGAGTGAAGTATGAACGAATAAAAGATGGAGTCATTACAGTAGTCAGGAGGTGTTTATTACAGTGGGAATCATCCCTTAATAAAAATAGCCCTTATTGAATACTATGTGCTGAACACTACTTTAAGCACTTCTAGGAATCACATAATTCAATTCTTACAAAATAATCCTATTATCCCTGTTCCACAGATGAGGAAACTGGGGCACAGAGAGGTTAAGTAACTTGCTGAAGATCACACAGCCAGTGAGTGGTAAAGCTGAGATTCAAAGTCTCCAGAGCCCAGATCCTCAACATCCTGCTTCACTGTAGGTCCTAGATGCTGAGGAGGTAGCACAAGTTAGTGATGTTTATTGTGATGTCCTGAATCATCCAAGAAAAAAAAATTAAAGCATGGACATTACATTTTACAGTAGCCACCCCCCTTATCCACAGGGAATGTGTTCCAAAGTCCCCAGTGGATGCCTGAAACCGTGGATAGTACTAAATCCTATATATACTATGTTTTTTCCTATACATACATACCTATGATAAAGTTTAATTTATAAATTAGGTACAGTGAGAGATTAACAATAACTAATAATAGAACAATTATAACAACATACTGAATGAAAGTTATGTGAATATGGTGTCTCTCTTTCTCAAAATATCTTATTGTGCTATTCTCATCCTTCTTGTGATGATGTGAGATGTTAAAATAACTATGTGATGAGTTGAAGTGACATGATGTTGTAAGCTTTGTGATGTAGCCTTAGGCAACTATTAGCCTTCTGATGAATCGTCAGGGATCATGAGCTTCTGGACCACTACTGACCCCCTGTACGTGAAGCATCAGGAAGAAAAACCATGGACGGGGTGGAGGGTGTACTACTGTATTTTGTAGGAATTAATTTTTAAAATTTTATCAAGGTTCTACATGGACATAGTGCTACAGGCCTATTACAAAAAGCAATTAGTCCCCTCCCCCAGCTCATTTCCTGCTCCGCAGAAACAACTGCTTTCAATTCTTGTAATTAGGTGACTCTTGCTGGTAGTTACATCCCTTGTCTCTAAATGACATACTGGATATTTCTATGGTCGATTTTCAGTTTTAAACATTATTTAAATGCCTATGCCTAGTCACTTTACCATGGAAGAAGAGAATTTTAATTTTCATTTCCCCACCCACCATACCACACGTGTATACCATTTCCGTCCCTCACTCTCAAGTTTTGTCATAGTTTTAGTTAGATCAGTACGTCCTGGGCTTGTTGTTTTCTTCTTTAGGTCTTCCCTCCGGGGCTGGGTGGATTCTCCAGAGAACATTTGGAACCACCTGCCTGTGAAGAATGCCTGAGTTCTGGAAGTTCCAGCGTGTGTGTGGGGGGGTGGAGGTATTCTCAGTATTTAGAGGGTTGAGATCTAAGCAGACTTTCACTATTTTTAGCCTTGACTTTACCCTCCCCTCCTCTCCAAGAGTTTGGGGGCTCTGAATGCCTGAGCCTTTCTGCAGATTCTGTGATGAGTTGATTTTTGGCTGTCCCTAGTGGCAGGTAAAGAGTCATCTTTCCTAGGTCTGCTCATCAGTTACCTCTTGTCCATTTACTTTCTAGCTTCCACATTTCGTTACTGTTGTTTCCACTCACTTTCTCTTTGTCCTTGTGAGTTCATACCTAAAACAACAACAACAACAACAACGAAAACCTCTTTTTACTGTTACTTTAGTGAGATTTGGGGAGGTAGCAGAACTAAGATGTGTGTTTGGTGTGCCATCTTTATCCTAAAGTTGGAAAGACATTTTAGAAAGCTTTCAATGTGGAGGGGTCAAAAAAAGCTTGTGTTGCTCTAATGGGAGGACCACTAGTTCTATGAAAAATGCAAGTTTTACTTCTACCTGTTACTCAAAGTGTAGTTCTAGGACTAGGACCACCTGTAGTACCTAGGCATCACGTGGGCCCCAACCAAACTTATTGAATCAGAATTAGCATTTTATCAAAATCCCTAGGAGAGTCCTAAGCATGCTGAAGATTGAGAAGTGCTAATATGAAGTACTTTCCTCAACTCCTACTGTAATTAGGATAAGCGAATTTTAATGAACTTTAATCTGGGATTTAAATATCTTGGTATATTCCCTTACTAAATTATTCTCCAAATTCTAGAGGTTGCTGTGAGATAGAGGAGTATGTAAGTTTCATGAAAATGCATCCTCTCTCCCTTTATAAACCATGCCTGTCCATTTGAGTTGACATCAGATGTGAACCCAAAATTCCATGTCATTTGCCATGAGAGATTTCAGACTGGTTATGTTCAGGCTTTTTTTTTAGCTGCCCACGGTTCTTGAGGTTAGTGATAGGATTTTATAGATTGGGTAGGCAGAGTTTTCAGTCACACATCAAGCTGCCAAAGTTAGAGGGTGGCTTCCCTGAGAGGCAAACGATAGATTAATTAAAGCCCAGCCTCTGTCCTAGTGACTGGTATATGCTCAGCAAGTGATTGTGGGATGAGCGAGCCAAAGATACAATTCCTGTCTTCAAGATATTCACCAACCAACATAAATTGGATGTCACCATACAGGGTTGACCAGCTCTAGGAAAGAGTAAGCACAGAGAAGGGGCATCTAACTTACCATTACTGGCAGAAGGAGCCAAAGGGCTACGTGATTTGATGAACCTCGCTTGGTGGGTTTAGGGCAGGGGCTCTCAGTTTGGTGTGTATTAGAATCACTTGGTGGGCTTGTTAACACACAGACCCTGTGGCCATCCTGACAATTCCTGATTCAGTACACCTGGGGTGGGCCCAAGAATGTGCATTTCTAACCATGTCCCGGGTGATGCTGATGATACTGATTTCACATTTTGAAAACCACTGGTTTTAGAGAATTATAAATAGTTCTTGTGGCTGGAGTCAGCGGGCAGGGAATGGTAGGTGATACTGAAGGCAGAAGTCTAAGGAGTAGGGAGTTCATTATGGAGTTTGTGGGGAGTCAGGTTTTACAGAGGAGAGTGATGAACACCCATTTGCAGTTTGGAAAGATCATTCTGGTGTGGTGAGGAGGATGGATCAGTAGCAAGGCCAGGTTGGAGGCCAGAAAACTAAGTAAGTGGATGATCATAGCCATCCAGATGAGAAATAAAAAAAAACTTGGAGGAGGAAAGATCCCTAGAACTTGGTGGCCTGTTGGAAGTGGGAGGGGAAGAGGGGGAGGAGTCATAGTGGACCATCAGATTTCTGGCTGGTTGGGTGTCGGGATTGTGTTACTCAAGACATAGGAAGAGGGGGTCTAAAGCAGGGTCTGGAAAGAAGAACAAAGGAGGTAAGACAAGGGCAGGACATGTTGAATTTGAAATGCCAGCAAGAAATCTGGGTGGATCTTCCAGTAGACCGTTTTCTTTCTGGGTCTGAAGGCCAGGAGAGACCTGGTAAGTCATCTAGCCCCAGCCCTTCTGCCACCTCAATTTGATCTCCTGTGCTGTTTGTTTGGATCAGGCATTGCATTTGTGAAGAAACACTATTGGTATAACCTTTAAGGGCCTGGAGAATGCAATACTTTTAAAGATTCTTTCTCAAGAAAACAAATATTCTATTCTTTTGATTGGGGGAAAAGAGAATACTAGTCTTCTAACACCAGAAGAGGTTAATACAGCCGCCTTCTGTCTGAGAGGCCAGGGGAATTGGGTTGTAGTAAGCTTGAAAGGAGCAAAATCACTTGACTGGTCTTCAGGCCATATGACGAACAGCTGAGACTAATTAGCGGGATTGTGGGTTTTTACAGAGATGCCTGATTTTGAAAATTGATGGAGTGGACTGCTCTTCAAAAGATTCTTTTGAAAAACGTTTATAAGCAGGCGATTCTGACTTTAACATTTCTTTTTGTTTTACATAGGCAAAAAGTAACCTTTTTGAAGAGGACATGTGATTGGACGTTGTCTAATTGTTGAAGTGTTGGGAGCAACGTTTCTAAAGTTTTAGAAAAACAACCAACGACTTATACTCTCTCCCTCAAGGTACGGTTTTGTGTTAATATATATGTATTTTTTTTGTAGAGGTTTCGATTTCTGCCATGCCAATTTTCATGTACTTAGAATATATGCAATTTAACATAAAATACCACTGCACATGTTAACTTTGTTTTTGTTTTTTTTTAAACCAAAGACTCTAAGACACCTGCTAAATTTCTGGGGTGTAGTTTGAAAATTGCTTTTTCAGTTACCGTTGAGTGGGTATGAATACTGACTGCATTTTTCTTTTCTTAACTTTAACAACGTAACATAAGATTTTTTTAATTTAAATTCAATTAGCCAACTTATAGTACATCATTAGTTTCAGATAATATGTTGAATAAGAGAGCTGATTAAGGAATTAAATTGCTCTAAGAGTTTTGCTCATCTTCTGAGGATTTCACAAAAATTCAAGGTTATTGGGATTTTGTTTTTAATATTAATAGCTTTAATGGAGAAAAGCTGTATCTAAGTATGTGTTTTACTCTAAGGTGTATTTCTTCTATGAATTAAATCTGCCCCCAGAGAATTGTTAATTTTGTTAGGTTTGGCCGTAGTATTGTGATTATGTAAGGAAAGGTCCCTATATTTTATAGATGCTTAGTGATAGCACGCAGGAGTGGAAGATCTGGGGGTTGGGTTTCCTGGGGTCTGATGTTCTTTATACACTTCTCTCTCCGTCCGGATCTGTGCTGGTTTGCCAGGACTGCCTTGATAAAGCGTTACTAACTGGGTGAGTTCAACAGCAGACAGGTGTTGCAGGGTCGGTTCCTTCTGAGGACTGTGAGGAAGAATCTGTTCCAAGCCCCGATCCTTGGCTTGCAGACAGGCGAGTCTCCCGGTGTCTCATCTTCTAGTCTTCCTTCTATGCGTGTCCTTAGATGAAGAAGGAGTTTGGATGCAGACACACAGGTCATGCATCGGATTAGTGTCAGAGTCGAGGCAGTGTCCTGATTTCCACTCCGGGGTGCTGACCAATTCCTCGTTTTGTTTTCTTTGCTGTGAGTTCAGGTTTTTCTCCTAGGAGTGAATCCAGAGCCCCGATGATCAGAAATCATGATGGAAGAAAGTCTTAATTAAAAGTTGACTTTCTCTGTCTAGATTCTTGGATTATAAAAAAAAAAAAAAGTTTTGAAAAAAAAAGAAAAGGTGTTGTGGGGAGGAATGTTTATTCATGAGGGCATCGTATCCATAGAACGTCCAGGTTGGATTTAATACATTCCAAGGGAGTTTGTCCCCATCTTGGTTGCCGTCTCTGTCTCTTACGACTGTCTCCTTGTCCTTTGCAGACAGTGTTCAGTGACCCAGCAGCCATTAGAATACAAAAACATGATTTTTTTTTTTCTTTTTACTTGCCACTGCTGCCCACAAGACCGGAACTGTGGCAGCCAATGCTGAGGAAGCCTTGCGGCCAGCAGGATGGCACCAAAGCAACCCAGACCTGCGCCTGTGAGCAGGTCCCGGAACCCAGGCTGCTTCCGCTCGCTCTCCCAGTTTCCGCCCTCCCGAGACCCTCAGCACCCGAGTGCTCAGAGAGGAAATGCTCACCACTTCCCTCTGCTTCTGTTATCTCCTTTTAGGATTAAAGCTTCCTGACATCCCTGTTCTTTTTTTTTTTTTTTTAGTATTTTATTTATTTATTCATGAGAGACAGAGGGAGAGAGAGAGAAGCAGAGGGAGAAGCAGGCTCCCAAAGAGCAGGGAGCCCGATGCGGGACTCGATCCCAGGACCCTGGGATCATGACCTGAGCCGAAGGCAGACGCTTAACCATCTGAGCCACCCAGGCGCCCCCCTGTTCATCTTTTGCCATCCTTCCTTCCTTCTGCCCTCTGCACTTGGTCGATTTATAGCTAGAGCTCAAGGCAGAGCATACCTCATAGCGGATGAGTCACGTAAAGCCCATTAAAAACAAAAGCTGATTTTCGCAGAAGCCATAATTCATTTGTACTGTCTTTGCAAGAGGACGTCTTCCTGCTTGCTTCTGTGCTCCTGGTGTTGCTGCAGTATGGCTGGGCGCCTGCCCTCTGGGCAGTGGCGCATTCTGTGGGGGCTGGAGGGTCGGGAGGTGAAGAGTGAGATCAGAGTACTGCTCAAGAGAGAAGTTTGCATCACTGATGATTCTCTGGAGGCTGGAGCCACTCTGCTCAAACACAAATACAGATCATGCTTCCAAGAACTGAGAGCATCAGTTTGTTTGTTTTCTCCATTTCATACTCTGTTGGGTTTCTCTTCTCCTTGCTGTTGTCTGAGCAGGAAACCTTTAGCTAGGAATGCTAGATTCATCACTCGGCAAATATTGAATGGATCCCCTGTTTTCACAAGAAGGGGAAAGTCCAGATGGCTTTACCCTGGCACCTCTGTGCTTTGGTGACTGTGGATTATTGTTTAAAAAATCTCCTCCCAGTGTCCTTGGGTCTCTCTTCATTCTCAGTGGTCATCCTATCTCTCCCATGGCCTCAGGAAATCAATTATGTTCATAATTCTAAAATCCATATTGTTAACACTGATTTTTCTTTTGAACCTTAGCTCTGTTTTCCAAATGCCAGTTAAACACAACTCCCTGGATGTCCAACATGTCTAAGGGACTTTTAATTGATTGTGTCTAGTACACTGTAACATTGTAGTAGTGTGGGTTCAAATGTTGGCTCTACAGTTGACTGGTTGAGTGACCTTGGAAAAGTTATTTAGCCTTTCTGTGTATCAATCTTCTCATCTGAAAATTAGAGCCCTTATAGGATTGTTATGAGGATTAAATGAGTTGTTACTTTATTTATTTTTAAAGATTTATTTATTTATTTTAGAGAGAGAGACACACACACATGCAGGAGGGAGGGAGAGGGAGAGAGAATCCCAAGCAGACTCCATGCTGAGCATGAAGCCTGATGTGGTTCTCCATCTCACGACCCTGAGATCATGACCTGAGTCGTTTAACCGGCTGTGCCACCCAGGTGCCTCTAAATGAGTTGGTATTTTTTTTTTAAAGATTTTATTTATTTATTTGAGAGAGAGAGAATGAGAGATAGAGAGCACGAGAGGCAAGAGGGTCAGAGGGAGAAGCAGACTCCCCGCCGAGCAGGGAGCCTGATGTGGGACTCGATCCGGGGACTCCAGGATCATGACCTGAGCCGAAGGCAGTCGCTTAACCAACTGAGCCACCCAGGCGCCCTAAATGAGTTGGTATTTTAAAGGACTTAGAGAAGCACTCAGTAAGTGTTGATTATAATAATCGTCATCTCAAGTCACCTTCTCCTGTCTTCATTAATGATAATAGCATTCATTCCTTTACCAAACCAAAAGTTTTGGTTATCTTCAACTTCTATACCAGTCAATTAAGAAGTTATACTGATTTTTCTACTTCCTAAATATATCTTGAATTATTTCTTTCCTCTTCTTTCCCACTGTCACCGACCCAAGTCAAATCACCACCTCTCCCATCCCCTTCTGACCCTCTGTTGTGTATTCCCAGTCTCCACGGAGCTGCCAGAAAGATTTAAGGCACACACCTTGTGTTCCCCTCTTTCATAAAAGTCTGCAGTGGCTTTCCATTGCCCAGAGGATATCACGGACTATTTTTTTTTTTGAAGATTTTATTTATTTATTTGACCGAGAAAGACACAGCAAGAGAGAGAGAGAGAGAGCGCACAAGCAGGGGGAGTGGGAGAGGGAGAAGCAGGCTTCCTGCAGAGCAGGGAGCCCGATGTGGGGCTTGATCCCAGGACCCTGGGATCATGACCTGAGCTGAAGGCAGATGCTTAACGACTGAGCCACCCCGGCGTCCCCATGGACTTTTTATTTATGTTACAGAGGAGTCCTTTCAGGCCTCGGTTGCAGAGTCTCTCCCACCTTTATAGCCTCTGCCTGGACACATCCTCATCTATGCCCATGCACTGCTTTAGCCATCCATCTGCTGAGGCCCCCTAAGTTCACCATACCCTTCTTCCTCCTATACCTCTCCACTCCCACCCTCCCAGACTGTCGCCCAGCACGTGGTCCCTTCTCACGGCTGGAAGCCTTGTCTGGGTTTTGTACTTTGAATGCCAGGCAGCCCTTACCTAATTCCATCAACAGTTATTTATACCTTTCAGGTTAGCATCAAAGGTCATTTTGTTGATAATTTGTTATCTTTAAAGGATGATGCTCGTTTGACCTGTGAAACCATTTGTCACATCACTTTGTGAGCTGGGTGATTTTTTCTTTTGAAGATTTTATTTATTAGAGAGAGAGAATGAGAGAGAGCACACGAGAGGTGGGAGGGTCAGAGGGAGAAGCAGACTCCCCGCCGAGCAGGGAGCCCGATGCGGGACTCGATCCAGGGACTCCAGGATCATGACCTGAGCCGAAGGCAGTTGCTTAACCAACTGAGCCACCCAGGCACCCTAGCCTGGTGATTTTAGTCCATTCCCATGTATCACTTGTCCCTTGATATGCCAATTTTAGTCCTTGACTCAGATGCTCTTCTGTGAAGTTTTCCTGATTCCCCCGCCAGGCATATTGGGTGCCTCCTCTTCCTTCTAACCCTCTCTGCCCCAGCCCTCCCACTTGCCCAGCATTGTGTGCATATTTGTTGCAGTTCTTGTTTTACTGTTAATTTCCACAGAGAGTGCTTCTATTAGACTGTTGCTCTTCCAGAGCTATGTTCTCAGTGTTTCACATAGTAATGAGTGCAAGGCATGTTCTCGATGCTTCTTTGTTAAGTGCATGATGTTTTAACTGATGTGCTTATAGGCTGGTGCCTGAATTTGATCATCAGAACCACGCTGTCCCTCCTCAGTGACTTCAAGCTTTGCTGGTGTGTCTTTTGATTGTTGGCATAGGCCAGTCTACTTATCAAACTTTATTTGAGATTATTAACACCTTTGGGGTTGGTATTTGTATGTCATTTTGCATTTAATTTCAGTTAGGGACATTTGGTGTAGGTTTCTTGAGAAGTACTTCCATATCCCTCCCAGGTGATACTACCCTTCCCGACATCCCCCTAGGCTGTAGAATTTTTGTCACTTCGCAT